TGTTTTAGCCAAACCAGGACACCACAACATAAGATTTAACAAAGCAAACAAGTTGCAGAGAGAATAATTTTCCCGAAGCCTGACTCTGCTAATGGATGTCAGTACTTCTGGTGGCCCCAAGGTTTGATTTTTTTTACCTAGTAGCAGAAACAGGTATCATGGGTATGATCTTATGTCCCTTCGTAGTTTCAAACAAGCTAGGATTGATGAAGCTTGATCTGTGTTTAAGGATTTTACATAGCTGGAACCAGATGACTTGGCTGAAAAATACCTTCTGGAGAAGTTAAGACTTGGAGACAATTTGGAAAAGTATAATGACAGGAATATAGAGGATAATCTCCTCTTACTTGAAGTAAGTCAGATATCTAATAGATGTATGAAGCTGGGAACCCAAAATGACAGGAACATTTTCTTAAACCTAGTCTCTTTAGAACCACGCACCCAAAACAACAAAAGAATACTTTTCTTAAAGAAAGTAAGTACAAAAGGCTAGACAGGCACTACCAGAACCAGCAAAGGCACCAAGTCACAAGTCCACGACCTCGGGCTGAAGTAATGGAAATGCTCCAAGGCTATAGCTGCACAACTTTGCATATCTACCAACTACCACACGGCCAGTAACAATGAGCTTGCCAGCAGTGTACTTCAAGTTAAATTTTAAATCCTTAAGATGTATCTAATACTTACATTAAAAAAAAAAAACACCACTAAGCTAATACACATCTTAATCTCACAGAGAACCTAAACTTGCAAATTTCAGTGACACAGCGCGAAAACATATTCACAATGAACTTTTATAACATCTACACAGGAATTCAGTATTGTAACTTCTGAAATAAATATGCTATGTTGAAATGAAAAAGAATATGCAAATGGTTTTTACCTGATTCTTTGAGTCCTCAAATCTTCTTTTTGGTAAACTCTGCTAAAAAATTTCAAAAGCAACGTACGAACTGGAAAGAGGAGATTCCTTTGCTGGTATAGTGTATATACTGCTTTTATCAAAGGTTCTGTTGCCACTAGAAAAGAAATATATAAAAATCTGAAGTAGTGCTTCTTAATCTTCTGATTTTATACGTAGACACATACACAGAAGAGCTATAATGAGCATCTGCAACTATCTACATTTAACTCCACAGGGAAGTACCAAAATGTTTTAAAACAGCTCCTGAATAGACTCCTAAACCATTGAAACAACACTTTCCTGTGTTGCTTGTCAAAGAGCCACACAAAAGAACAGAGACAACATGCAAGTGAAAACTTCAGAACTTCTTGAAGACAGGCCAGTGCACAGGTTGCGAGGTAGCTGAGAACCAATAAATTCCTGCTTTCCACATCTATCTTCCACGTCCTTTTCCCCTAGTGCAGTGATCTCACTCCACTCTTCTCTCCTTTACTCCTTACCTACGCTCCCCCAAACCTCACCGTTACAGTGCCTTCAGTTCTCTCTACCCTATCCCTTTCTTCCTGCCAAACACACCAACCTTAGCAGCTCTCCATGTCTTTGAACCAGTCGGTTTCAAATCACACTTGCTAGTTGACCAGAAAATACATACCTCAAGAGGCCGCTGGCAAGCCACTGCAAAGAGAACTGCGAAACTCCACTGCAACCTTTCCTTCTCTGAAGCTCTCATCAACTATGTGTTATCACCAGACTTAAAATAATGTATGAAAGTTCTATCCTTATGACAAAGTTGGCTAAACCCAGCGAGTAAGTGCAGAAGTTATTCTAGTAGACTGAGAAACAGACCAAACATTTTTTATGGAAACCAGATTAAACCACTGGATATAAAAATCAACAAAGCATGGAAAAATATCTGCATTCAGAGAAGACAAGCCTGGAAAGAATGGAGAAGCATCTGAAAACTTAAAAGATACATGAAGGGTATGAGACCTCACTAAATTTGTGTCAGAAGAGCTTGGGATCCCAATGAATTCATTGCTGTCAAGACATACTTAAGTAGCAGCAATCACTTCATTACCTTCATAAACCAAGACGAGGAAGCCTCTTTGTCTTTCCATCCAGGTGTACAGAGCAGTCTTAGTAAGTTATGTATTCAAAAACAGACACAATTTTGTGTTCCACACCGAGCAGAGCTACTTCTGTCCACAGAGACAAGAATGCTCCATACTAAAAATTATTCCAGATCCAGTCAGAGGCCAGTCTTCATCATTAAAACTCTTACCAGGGAACATATTTAAAGTTATCATATAGCGAGTCTCACTTAAAAGATATGCTATAAAAAGCACCTGAAATGGCATTGTCACACTCAAGCTTAATGCAGGGAACCATATAGAAGTTGAAATCTAACATACTTGTCAACAGAAAAAATACATCAAATATTAGAATGGGTTTTAATAAAGATAAATTATTAAGTTCTTTTCATTTTATCAGGAGCATCAACTTATTAAATTCACATACTCTTCAGGTGAAGATTCATCTTGGACAGTGTTTCTTAAACAGACGACTGGCTTATTCTTAACTGAATAACAATTATACCTTTATGTAGTTTTTAGCTAATTAACAAACTGTTTACTGAATAAATATAATAAGAAATAAATATTCTAAGTGTGTAGAACGTTCATTCACCTTCCAAAAACTCTCTACGGCACGTTTAGTAAAGCAGGTGCTACTATTTGAATTGCTTCATATAACAGGACAAGTATAAAAACGGAAGCAATTTAAGAAGGTATTCTTAAAAATTAGTACTTAAAAGGTCCACATTAGACAGACTTCCCAAATGCAGCCAAAGTCCTCATAATTTTTAACGTTTCAGTTTTAACTGGCACATGGCAAGCCACCTTCTGAAGTGACTGAGTGTGCTCTCTTTGTTACTTGGGAAAAATTTATCAAAACTACAACTATCAAGCAACCTGCTGCTAAAGTCATACCTGAGAGACGCAAGAAAGGAGCAGACCTCCTAATTACAGAGAGCAGATCCACAGTTTGAACTTAAACAATGGAGAGAAATCTTCAGACATTGCAGCTCGAAGCTCTTCTAGACATCCACAGAAAAAGGTGGATATTTCACCCCAGCATAAACAGCTACTCGAAACAGGCAACCCTGAAAAATGCGACTGCAAAGATACCACTGTGTTTTTGCAGCATAACACGCAGGAGGCTGACTACAGTTTTATTTAATCTCTCATTCATTAGCTATTTGTTCTTTCTATCTAAATTTCCTGTGCTTTGATTTCCATTGTGTTCTAAAAAAATTTTGATTGTAATGGTTCATTTTTTCTTTTGCATTGTCTTCTAAAGATGACATACCTTTCCAGGCCCTTAATGTCAATATAGGTTTTAAACAAATCAGAGTTATATTTTGGTAAGTACCATCTTTTGCAGTTACCACTTGACACAATACAAGTCAGAATTTCTAGAGCACCATCAAAAACAAAACAAACCAAACCAAACCCAAGGAAGTAAGCTTCTCTTCTTCAACCAAATCACATAATGGTTGAGGTGAGACGGGACCTCTGGAGGTCATCTGGTCCAATGCCCCTGCCAAAGCAAGATTAGGTAGATCTGGTTGCCCAGGACCATGTCCAGACGGCTTCCGAATATCTCCAAGGGTGGAGACTCCACAATATCCCTGGGCAACCTGTGCCAGTGCTTGGTCACCCTCACAGTGAAAAAGTGTTTCCTGATGTTCAGACAGAACCTCCTGGGTTTCAGATTGTGCCTTCTGGTCCTGTCACTGGGCACCACTGAAAAGAGCCTGGCTCCACCTTCCTTGCACCCTCCCTTCAGGTATTTACATACATTGATGAGATGGCCCCTGAGCCTTTTCTTCTCCAGCCTGAACAGTCCCTGCTCTCTCAGCCTTTCCTCACAGCACAGATGCTCCAGGGCCTTCATCATCTTCATGGCCCTTCGCTGGACTCCCTCCAGTATGTCCACGTCTCTTGTACTGGGGAGTCCAGAACTGGACACAGTACTCCAGGCATGGCCTCTCCGGTGCAGAATACAGGGGAAGGATCATCTCCCTCAACCTGTTGTCAATCACTCCTCCTAATGCAGCCCAGGTTACCACTGGCCACCTTTGCCACAAGAGTCCATTGCTGGCTCCACCAGAGCCCCCTGGCCCTTTTCTCCTAAGTTTCTTTCCAGCTGGTCAGCCCTCAGCATGTACTGGTGCATGGCTTGTTCCTTCCCAGGTGCGGGACTTCGTGCTTGTCCTTGTTGAACCGTCAGCCCATTTCTCCAGCATGTCAAGGCTGTATTTCCTCTACAGCTAGTAAATGAATTATAACCTGGCACCTGGTCAGGCTTTCAGTACTGCAAAAGGATTATCTCGAAGGGATGAGATAAATTGTCCACACAAACAGATATAGATTCACGAGGTAAAGAACTTCCTACTTGCAGTGAAATTCCTGAACCTTTACAGGATCAGCAGACAAGATCCACACATATCAATCTTTTGTAATTTCATTTAAGCTTTTTTTAAGCTTATTTATTTTTTGCATTCCTGGGGAAGATTATTGCACTAAACTGGCCACTTTGGTTAGAAAAACACCAGCCATTATCCACTATCTGGCAAAAGTTTGACAAAGGAAAAAATCAATCTCCCGTTACAAGGAAAAGCATGAAGTATTTGATTTAACAGTCTAACAACAGTTGGGAAACTACTTTCCTGAGTAGCAATCCTTCTGCTTTAGCTCAGCTAGTGAGACAGGCATATCTCTGACTTTGGACTGTTGATTCCCTTCAACAGGAAGCCAATTTGAAGTGCAGATAGGAATGATTATTTATTACCTTTGTCATCAGGGACATAGGAATAGACAGATTTCCCAATTAAATGGATTTGGAAGGAGATACAACTAACTGCCAAAATATATTTATGGGACATTTGACATCTTTTCATCTTACAACACTAACCATGAAACCTGCTGCTAAGAACAAAGCATTTTCAATAAACTCTACTTGGCTGCGTGGATGTGGAATTCACTTCTACCAGACTGGTACAACACAATGGACCCCCACTACCTTCAGATTTACTGAAAATTCCTTTCTTGAACAAGTCCTACATCAATCACTTAACAGATATGTCAACTAAGGTCTCATCCGGAACACAATCAAGTAGTACTTGAAAAGCAAAAAAAAAAAACACAAAAAAGTCAAGCCAAAATACTGTACTGGTCCTGCAAGTCACAACTGGAAATATGTTTTCTCATGGAAAAGAACTCAAATCAAACACCCTGGAAAATATTCTACAGCAGCTTCCATCAGAACTATCTTGGCATTTCATGTCATCACAGAACTAGAATGGTCATCTGATAGTACTCAAGGGAGCCTACTGGCTACATTAATGATTTTAAATAAGGATCAGAATATTAAAGTACTATACACCTCTACATCCTAGTAATTACTTTTCAATGAAGAAAAACTCATCTTCCCATTTATAAGAATATCTCAAGAAGTAAAAACAGAAAACAGATAAACAAATATATTAATATGTTGCATATCAACAGCATGAATCTAACAGCCTTCCTAAAGATCAAGCCCTTTCAATGCTACATGCAGGGATATGACCATGAAATTCAATTTACTTCTACAGACAAAATACATTATGATGTAACAACTGAGGCTATAAGATGAAGTGACCTCAAAATGCTAGAGTAACTCAAACTCTTTGTCAGTGCATAATTTTGCTTTTCAGAAACTACTCGTATCTTACCTTTGTTTTGCTGTATTTGCATTAGTCTCCAAGTCACACCAAGCAATCTGTTCACCTGCTTGCTATTCAGCTTGCTGCCATCCTGAAGAGTATCTGTCACAAATTTCCTTATCATGTCCAACCAACCAGAATCCATCTGAAGTGTTGAAGTGCTTGCTAGTGAAACCATTATGTCACATAAGGTTAAATTCAGTAAAAGGTGGTCCACACTGTTTGAGGATGTCATACAATACTTGTTGCTAAGTGGGAGGAAGAAAAGAGAGATTTTAAAAAAATATTTTTTGCTTTTTAATATATAGTACTATGATAGAAATTATAGTATGTAGAAAAAAAATTTAAATGTTAAAGTTTTAAAGTCAATACACATTTTCAAATCCTCCATATTTGACATATGGGTACTTGAAATTTTTTGTTCTGCCATCAAAATGTCTGTGTCTCATATTTATAGTGGCAGCAACAACCAACGCTCTAAATAGTATCTCTATGGCTGGGTTCTCCTGTTTGACATATTTAGCCCGGCCTAGCAGCACTTTGAGGTGATTAAAAAATTAATCCTTAGTTTCAGTCTCTTCTGCGTTTCTTCTTCTGTGAGCAATTACATGGATTTTGTGATCATTACACAATGACAAAAAGCACCATGAACAGCATACAGAAATCCATTTGTGTGCTTTTTTCCAAACTCATGTGGAATCGGAAACAGAGTTTTCACCACCACAATATTCTGCAGGACCACCCTGTTGCCCTACAGAGGTCTGAAACACAAAACTAAGGGATATTAAGAAAGGAATCAAGGGTATTGCAGCTTGACATATAACGCTAGAACTCTCTACTTGCTGATCGCTCACTCACAGTATATAAGAAAAAAAAATAATCACAGCATTTATCTACTGAAAGCTGCACAATATGAATGCCTACATTCAGAACACAAAGTAGAGCTGTGAAAACAAAACAACAAGAAGCACTTTAACCAGCGTTAACGTTAAGTGTAGTCACCCTTCAGTTCAGAGCCAACCATTACAATACGAGCAAATAAATCTCAACCTGTGGACATCAATTACACATAGCATAAACGCTAAAACTTTGTCGTGTTCAGAATATGTAGATGCTAAGCGCTATCAGTAATACTGTGGTAAATTTCTGCAACATTTTGCAAACTGGAAAAGGAAGGAAGCCTTGAAATGCCATGCAAGTTTTCCAAAGGCAGGCCTTTAACCCAATATATTGGTAAGCAATGAAAATAAAGGCAACTATTTTTGTTTTCATGGCATGAAGTTTCTAGGAGTCATGAAGTAACAGTCAAACTAAAAAACACACAAAAAAGAATTTCACAGATTATTTTTCCTTTATGTATCCATAAACTGCAAGAATGCAGCAAGACACAGTAGCAGAGTGAAGAAGGATCAACAGAAGTATGGTTAGTCAAGATGTCATCTTTAAGACAAGAAAGATGGTTGCTTTGCCTAACTACTAATTCTGAGATTTTCAGTTTCAAGGAAGGGTGTTCAGGTCAAAACCTGGAAAAGCAAAACACCTTTTGGCTTTATGAACTTAATGAGTAAAACTTGGTTGAACTGAAGGCATTTAACGAAGAGCTATGCTGTACTTCTGATCTATGTGCCCTTTCAGGAAGAGAAAATGCAACAGCCAAAATATCAAACAGGATTTTAGCCTCAAGTATACCTCCACCATGGTAGGCACTTAGATAAAAAGAGGTTGTTCTACTACTACAGCATGATCTGCAGTGGCAGAGTTTGTGAGTATCTGAAACCAAGACAGACACCAGCTGATACCCGAGAGGTTGTTCTACTACTACAGCACGATCTGCAGTGGCAGAGTTTGTGAGTATTTGAAACCAAGACAGACACCAGCTGATACCCCTTGTACGTACACCAGTGTTCTACATAGACTGCAACAGCGCAGAACGACTCCAGAACTGACTTGTGTGAATATCATCTCACATCCAGGAGCTGAGAGGGAAGACAACCTGCTACTGGCCTGTACCAGAACCTTGAGTGCTCTGTTTGGTTTTGGGCCCCCCACTACAAGACAGACACCGAGGTGCTGGAGCGAGTCCAGAGAAGAGCAATAAAGCTGGTGAAGGGTCTGGAGAACAAGTCTTATGAGGAGCAGCTGAGGGAGCTGGGGTTGTTTAGTCTGGAGAAAAGGAGGCTGAGGGGAGACCTTATCACCCTCTACAACTACCTGAAAGGAGGTTGTAGCGAGGTGGGGGTTGGTCTCTTCTCCCCAGTAACTAGTGAAATGACAAGAGGAAACAGCGTCAAGTTGCGCCAGGGGAGGTTCAGGTTGGATATTAGGAAGAATTTCTTCACTGTTAGAGTCGTTAGGCATTGGAACAGGCTCCCCAGGGGAGTGGGGGAGTGGAGTCACCATCCCGGGAGGTGTTCAAAAAACGTTTAAATGTGGCGCTTCGAGACATGGTTTAGTGTGTTTAGTGGGCATGGTGGCATTGGGTAGAAGGTTGGACTTGATGATCTCCGAGGTCTCTTCCAACTATAACGATTCTATCATTCTATAAAATTGATGCACCCACTCTGCCAGCTCATTACTGAAGAAACATTTGAGTGTTTGGCTTCTCCTGCTCCAGTACTGCTTTGCCATACTTGATAGGCACAATGTGTCCCATCTCCTCTCCTAGCTGTATTTATCCAGTCCTGTAATAGAACTACAGAAGAGTAGATGTGGGTGAAAAAAAATGTTTTAACTATGTTTTGATGTAATTCAGCAGACAACTGAAGAAAACATGCAGAAGTATGAAACTAGCCAGACTAACACAAACCACCATTTAGCAATAAGCAAATTCCAGATCAAGCGTTCAATTAAATACTTTGTCTCTAAGACAGCATTTTAATTTCTACTAGAGGCTATTCAGATGACTTTCTATACAGTACTTTTACAAACAACAACCAAAACCTCTCAATTCAAAGCAATGCTACCTTCCTATAAAAACTTCTCTACAGATCTTCATGGAATACACAATAAAATGTTTTCTTTTCCAACGTTAAAAACTTAATACCAGGTAAAGCATATGACTTGCATTGTCTCACTTACCCTTTGCATGAATCTTTCTTTTTGTGCTTTACTGTTTCTTGCAAAGAATAAGGAAAGTGACGCATGAAGTGGTGCTTGAAATCAACAAGGTAATTCATTCGAAGCCATAGTTCCTGTTAAGGAAAGCAGGGGATAGACAGAAAACATGGTAGTAATTGAGTAATCAATGCAATCACCTTCCAAAATCCATTATTGGAATCAATGAAAAATAGGAACTGAAGCTTCTGTTTGAAAGTTTTCATATATATTTACTTTCAGATGTAAATGATGTCTTTGTGCACGAACCTGAAGGTCCACAAAGCAAGGGAGTAAAATTATGATAGAAGTCAAGGTTGAGAAGCAACAGTTAATCCAAACTGGATCAGTACATTTTCTTAGCACATATTAATGTGGATATATGCAATATTAAACTGAGTTACAGATGTGAATTGAAAGTGCTGTTATATCAATTTATCAGGACACTTAAAATTTGAGTGAACTCTGATTTACTTGCAGTGACTGTCCTGCGTTTTCCATAAAGACATATTCTGACACTGCCTTCATCTTTCCCCATCATTAATGTACTTGTAGTTCAAAGCCCACTGACAAAATGTTTTCCAGTAGAAAGGCCATCCTTACAGAAAAAGGACTCCTTTCAATACTTAAAAATAATTTTACTTTGTGGGTTAGCAGACACTCACAGTCACCATTCCACAAAGTGTTCAACAGAACTCCTCACAAAAATCACCTGCATCGCTATTTAATTGGTCAGGCAGAATAATCTTGATATTCAAGTATTGAGAACAGAGAATGACCATTAAACTACTTCAAAGATTAATAAGTTTCCACTAAGCATATTCAGAGTAGTTTTCCAAAGTGTTTGTAACAACCACTTTCGTCTGTAAGCCCAAGGGCTATTAAATAAGCAAAGCTTCCATTTTCAAACAGAGCCATCTGAATGCGTTTTATATATCAAGGTGACTGCAAAGCAAAAGGCAAAATAAACTGTTTATCTTATGTAAAACACAATATCCTCCAAAAAAAAGTTGTATGGACATCAGATATTTTTTTTTCCAAAACATCCTAAGTCATAATGCAACTGCACGTAACTAAAACAGCTCACATCTTAACACAGGAGCCCTCCTTTGACGTGACCAAAATGCAAGCACCGTATGGTTAAGGGCAGTAGCTCTGCAGTACCCTAAAGAAAACGGCTCGGGGCAGGAGGTTGCCACAGGTATTTACCTGGCCACCTGCCTGCTGCCAAGAGGTCCTCTAGAAAAGATGAAGTGGAAAAAGAGGAACAGTGTGTTTTGTTCAGACACACTGAATCCATCCCTCAGGCCGTGTATGCTGGGTAACTCTGGTCTAGGGGAACGATTGCACAAATATTTTCCAATAATTATTCTATGCATAGATTTTTGTTTAGCAAATAGACTTACAGTCCTACACACAGGTAAACCAAAGAGCTGTCAAGACATTCCTTCCAATTACTCTCAATAGCCAAAATGGAAAGACTTATTTTTCCAGTTCGCAAAATCCTTGAAGAACAGCAAAAGTTACAAAAAAATGACAATTCATTTATCAAAGACAGAAAAAATAATTAGGGTAAAAAAAACTTCAAGGCTATTTTCCATAATCCTCATTGAGATTTTGATTTGATGTCTTATGATATCACCAATCATGACACAACAACGTAGATTGCTCCAAACAATTACAGGATCTCCTACCACCATTACTCCCTACCTTCCCAAGGGTTTAGGGTTTGTTCATTTCTCAGCCCCAATCCCTGTAAAATTTTTCAACACATAAAAACAAGGAACAAACAACTCCGTTCTACATTTGTTTGAATTTATATTCTAGATGTTATCTGGCAGGCAAAATGTTCCTCCTCTCCAATACCACTTTCAGGTTCAAAAGCTTTTCTGCTGCAGCCTGTCAAGAAGGATTCCTGGAGACTATCAGTGAACTCATTGCTCAGTTCAACAGATTCTCTTCTAGAGTAACAGATTTGACAAAACCCAAACTCAAATTCCACTCAAAACCTAGGCTTTAATAAATTATTATTATTATTTAATAAAATATTATTTCTTAATAAAATATTTCCACTACTTCCAATCACCAAATCACTAGTTTCCAGTCAAAAGAAAACGAATTGTCATTATTATGCCACAGATCGTTTCTCCCTTACCATTTTGTACGTTTCATCATGTCGCTTTGAGAGTTTCCACAATAAATGTATTATACTAAGCACTTGCTGCATAAGCTGCTGAGACTCTGATTCCAAAAGGTTTCCAAGAATGGGAGCTGATTGTGCAGGAGATGCTTCAATCCAGCACTCAATCAGTAATGGAATTATTATCTCAATGAAACCTTTTAAGTTTTCAGCCGAGGACAGGCCTTTTTCTGCACTGTCCATTACACTTGCCAGAGACCTAAATGACAAAAAAAAAAAATAATCAAAAATAAAAATCACACCTTTAAGAACAGATCAGAGCAGTACCAAAAAATTACTTTTTTAATACATTAAATGTTTGCTTGCTTTCTTGCTAGCTATTTCAGTAAGGAAAAAAGGGAGTTCAAACCACCTACAACAAACCTGCTCCCGAGTCTCCCTGCAAGTTTACGTGCTTCTGTAACAACTTCTTAGATTTCAGTATTTCTTTCCCCATTGTTATATGTAAAGTCTATCAAGTGGGAAATATGATTTGCATCATCATAGCACCTTCAACCAACAGGTAAGAATTCACTGTACTTGGCACAACAAAACAAAAAAGCTTTAAGTTTTCAGCTCCTGGAAGCAAAATAATGAAACTGACTACAAAGTATTGGCAAATGCATGAGGTTTATTACAGTTAATAACCATCTCCAGCTGTAATAAACATAATGGTTGTTCATATTAAGGGGGGGGGGATGAAATCAGTCTGCAAAAATTTAAATTTGGTTCCCATCTGATGTTTAAGTATTATGCCCTGAAGAGCAACTAGTTGGAAAATTATTAAAATGATCTGATAATGAAGTTAAACAAAAACTATCAAAAAATGAAAAGATATAGTTCAAACTAAAAGAACATCTCCCAGAAAGCAAGAAAACCAAGGACTTCCCCGCTCCTCCCCTTATAACACACTTTGTTTCTGTTTCAAAAGGCATTATCAGCACAAATAACCAAATCCTGCTCCTGGATCAATTCAGGCAACTTGTATCCATTTCAAAAATGTTCTTTAAACAAAGAAATCCCTGAGTAACTCCTGCTAATTTCAAGCAACAGAGAGTCCTTAAAAAAAAAAAAGCAACAATAATTTCAACTGATGTCTTCTGACATTGTTTTTCATGATGACTTTGTTTTCTAACTTACAGCAGGGAATTCCCATCATAATTCTAACTTCCTAACATATATAAAATTGGTACGCTGAACCTCCTGTTAAACTCCTTTCTATTTCAGTGATGTTCTCCAGGCGATTTTTCTTTACATACACACCCAAAATAGGATCTGAAAAACTATTTGCTTTCTTTCCACAGATAGGCAGAGAAGTTCTGTTTACAAATACTTTAATTTCATATTGGATTAAAGAGGGAAAGCGGTTTTCCCTGGTCATCCTGTCACTTCCAAATTATCCAATTAGTTATATCCTTCTGTGAAGCCACATTTCTCACGCTGTTGGAGCCATCTATAATATGCACGTAATAGAAAATTTCATGCTGTCATTTCTCTCTGGTTGAAATTGCTATCTCAAGAAAATTACTAAACCAAAACAAACCCAGATATTAATAAACTGTAAAAGGAGCAGGGAGAAGACATCTGCAAAGGAATAGAAAGAAAGTGTGAGACAAATGTAGGTCCTATTTTAACGAAGGCAAGATGGCAGAGAGAATTTAGATCTCCAGCACAAAATAAAATGGCCAAGCAGAAACACATCTGGTCATAAGAAAAAAAATGTTAGTTTAATCTTTAGTACCTTCAACTATCAGACATCTTAAAATTTTATAAAGCTTAACACTAACTGCAGCAACCTATGTATGCAGTCAATGTGATTTGGCTTATTTGTCCCTTTTCTATTGCTCTATGTCCCTTCCATGTCACAGACACTGCAGTAAAGACACCAGTTCCTTTCAGACTATAGAGTTCAGGGTCAATGGTTCCAACTTTGACAGTTAACTCTCAGTCACCTAAAGACATGGTAGACAGTTATAACCACAATGAATTCTAAAGCATCACTGGACAAGCCAGTTGATATCAAGACCATAACCTCACTGAAAAAGTTTGATTGTCCTGTAAATGCTATGCCATGACAGGACCACACACTCAGCCAAGATTCTGAAATGTCAGTAACTGGCTGAAATAGTTCTGAAGTAGTAGTCTTTAATCATTTTTCTGAAAATAGTATCTGATATTACAGCAGACCCCTGGAATTCAAGCAATCTATTTCTGGAACACAAAAAAAATCTCCCCATTAAACAGTGAACAGTGCATGAACCCTGAGAAGTTGGCAACACACACACCTGAAGATTCCTACTAAAGTATAACACACACACCCAACTATTTCATTACTTTTCTGAAACAAGGGATGGAAAAAGAAGGAAGAATCCATGCCAAAAGAGATACTCCACCCAGCTGCCGAAAGCATTTGAGCAAGAATACTTAGAGTAGCTTTCACGTAACCCTGCAAAAGAAGCCCCCATCTCTCAAGAGAAGGCTCCTCCAAATATTCAAGGTTAACAACAAAAGGGGTAAACAAAATCTGATTGCCACCAACAGATGATGACGAAGTATTACTGTAATCTGTCCAGTAGGCATTCGATTAGTGTGATATCCTTAGCAATACAGGTTCACTGGAACTGGGAGAGTGTGATGTCAATTAAAGCATTAATGTTTTTGTCATGTATCTGTTATCACTATTTTTTAATGGCAAGGCAGCTCTCAGTAACACTACAAAGCATATTACCTTCATATCAGCATGAAATACTATTGAGGGGAGTTGCAAGATATCTGTGTGCCTCTTAAGCTGTCATTTTTCTTTAAAATGCCAGTATTTTTATAAAGCAGGACCAAACAAAAAAAAATCCAAACCACCATGTAACTTATCTGCCATCTGACGGTAAGAGGACAACAAAAATTCAGCAAAGGGAACTCAAGGAAGTGTAGAAGAAACAGAAAATAAGGAAACAACTTTCTGCTGCTTAAAATAGGAAAAGTCATTGGAAGTTTTATGGCTTAGAGTCTAACCCAGGTTACCGTCCTCCTTTTCTGGGTGCACTGTCAATAGCAGTAAAGAAACACTCAGTATACCAAGTGAACTGTATTTTCCATTTGTATCTGATGCACAGGTCACACCATATACGTATTTATTCACTACGCTTTGTCTTCCATTTTGGTCCCTCAAGTCTTCTTCGCTCTTCTCTGCAGCTTCATTTTATCCTTTCTCAGCAGAAACAGAAACTCTACCATTTCTCTTCAGCACCACTTCCAGTCCAAAAAAAGATCATAGACCTTGGTATCACCACATCGAAGCTGTGAAGGCTTTCCATTTTTCCACACCTGAAATGAGTTTGATGCAAAAAGCAGTGCAGTCAGCACATAAGGCAGAGGATATATTCTAATAATCTCCTAATTCACTGTAATCTTTAATTCACACACCGTAGGAAGGCCTAGCACACAACACAAAAAGTCTTAAGATTTGCATTGTTGAACCATCCAGCATTCCAAGCTCAGAATCTACACTTTTTACCAACCATTAATATTGCAACCTGATTCTGAAAATCCCTTTCCATAATCACTAGGTTATCAATGAGGTGCCATCCCTACCCAATGAACTTGCAAGCTTAAAAAGATACAAGAATCTTAAAAATTTAGCATACCAAATGACTAAGTAACATATATCAGTGGTGTTTGGAAACCTACTTTTTAAAGCACAAAGCTGAAGCTTACTTGCAGTATTAGTGATGAGGCCATCAATACGTACACACCACAATGAGTTACTTACGGTTTGGTCAACTCAGTATCTATAGTTAGGACTTGACTATTTGTGCACTGACTTCTTTAAACAAAACCATACACACTGTTCAAGATTCTGGAAGTACTCAAGGAGCATTACGGGTGTTTTGCACCTCTTATTAGAAGTAATTTCTGTCCTTGCAGTTATGGCCACAGGTGAGGCCTGGGAATGCCTGTAAAAGGCCACAGTTGGGATTGGAAGAGACAGAATTAAACATCTTCAGATTACCAGGAAAGATTTCAGTGGCAAATACAAAAGCCACCACAGTAACTTCCACTCTTGGAATTTTGCAGGTATCCACTAAAACAAGCTGTCCTGACCCTTTGTGCAAAACGAATATACCAAAAATATGAGGAAATGAAATAAAATGATAACATTTTAGTACCTTCTGCAAATGCCCCTTCTCCTTCCATTCTTCTGTTCTGCTGCCATCAGCTTGCTTTCCCAGTCTCGCCTTGGATTCTAGCAATGTTTCCTTCTATTCTTCTGGCTCCTCCTCACGCTTGCAAACGCCTTTTTGAAAGTATTTATAACCACAAGTGGATCACGACGTTTCACCAAAATCTAGCTCCTCAGAAAAGCGGAATCCAATTCAGGTGACACCAGATGTAAAGTTTATTCTCCTAGACCTTGGATACAATGCATCTTCAGCTATTACATGGCATGGTATATCACACACTGCATATCATTCAGGGCACAATACAAGAATCCTCTGATATACGGCGGTCCACAACTGTATGCTTCTGACTGCAGAGATGAAGTCCACAGGACTGTTTTGTGCTCAGCACTGAACTCTCCTCCCTGCCTGAAGTGGGCTTCAATGATCTAGTTTACAACTCAAGTTTTACCTGCAGCAGATACTGTTGGTCACGACTGAACTCTTACGCTATGTTAACAATCACTTTGATGAAATAAGCTGCACATTTGCACATTTTACTTAGCTTAATATAAATTTCCTATACCTACCACAAGTAATATGCTACTGACCGAGAGGAAGCCTAGGAGAGTGGGAATGGAACGGTCATTTGCGTGTCTCCATGATGGAGATGGAAAACACCTGCTAATTCAGGCCAATATCTGTGGTATTAAAAGAGAACACTTCTTCTTCGGCACTTCATTCATTCAAAGACATGAGATAGATGTAGCAATGGATTAGGCAGTGGGTTTTATATCCTTCTCTGCCACTGACCTCCTAGATTAATTTGGTATAACTGCTTTATACCTCTTATACAGTCTCCCCCCAGCAGTAAAACAATGACTCTGGTTTCTCTTCAAACCACCTTCATATTCTATGGATTAAAAGCGCTGTGTAATGGCTAAACAGTTTATTTTTCAAGTCGTCATTCCAGGTCTCCTGTCAGCGGGTATGTAACATCTACAGTAACGCACACACACGAGGATGCCAATGTTTAAAAGGTACCATAAAGTGGGGTGGGAGGTTCCCCTCTAGTTCGAGGAGTGAATCAGAAAGGAGGAAGAGAAATAAAGATGGTTAGTTATTTCTCCCTTAACTTCAGCTCACATCTATTTAGAGTACGACTAAAGAACACACAACCCTTTCTGTGACAAAGCACACTACGCTTTCTTCCATATTCATCACCATGTCTCAGATGAGACATCTTTTATCCATAGTGAAGATATAAACCAGTGAACTGATTCATAATATCTAGAATTGGAAACTCGGCAGAATTTTACACAGCCAGACACATCTTATCATACTGTCCTTTTTAAAAGGAGCTACATTCAAAGAAAATAGACTCCTAAACTTATCACAGACTCTTGAAGGTAAAAGCACAAAATTTCAGTACAATTCATTATCACAGTGTAAGAAATAAGCTTATGTTTAATGTAAAGAAATTTGCCTGCTCGCCTCCAGGTCTATTTGATATCCTGCAACAACCTGTAGTCGTCAGTTCGCATTCCAAAAAAAACCACTAGAGTTGGTCTTCCAAAATTATTATGAATAGCACAAAATAAAGCTTTTATTTGATATCGGCAAAGTTCACGATATATGCATAGCACAGTTATCTGCTAAGTATTTCCATATTTTCAAGCCACTCCACTAAGACTGCACATTACACTAAATGCCCTAAAATATGGCTAAGGGAAAAATCCACAATAAAAATTAAATTGTTGTCTTCAACAGCAACAAACCAGAGTTTAACACTGTGATCATACAGCTGACATTAATTCCCAAGTTAATTAACATTTTCTCACCTCAGCCTAAATGATGAGTTGATCTTTGGTCGTAAGCCACCATTTTCAAACAGCTGTATATGTTGCTGATTATTTGCATGGACCTTCCAACTTATACATATTGGGTTCCTCACAGAATGAGGGCCATCCTTTTGCTCTTGAAGCCCTTCATCCTCTACATCACTGGATCCATCTACCACTGCCTGGAGAAACTTCTTGAGCCTCGTAAGTACATTCAGCCTCCACTGCTGAGAAGTTACTCTGCGATTTGGGTTAACAGAGAGCATCCAGGAAAGTTTCTCTCTGCTTTTCAGTCTTTTTGACAGTTGCTGGTGAGAAATAAGCTCTACAAAATTCTTCAACAATATACTGCTGCGGTCTGTGAGAAGAGCTGGGTATGCTTCCAATAAAACGTCCAGGACTTTCAATGAATCTTCCTGAATTCCCTCACTGATATGAGTCATGGCACTGGAGAGATGGGCACTTACCAAAGGAAAAAATGGAGCAATCTGTTCCGCTCTTATTTTTGAAGCCAAGAATTGCAGCAGGTGAACAGCTGCTCCTCTGACACCAGAATCTTTGTCTGTAAACACAGCTGCCACCTCACTTATTATGTTTGAAAGGTGCGCATCAATTACAAATGGATACTGAGATAGGAGATCTTTGAGCCCAAGAAGTGCATTATGCTTAACGCCAGGACTATAGTGATGCATCTGTGAAAGCAGATCCTAAAAGGAAAGAAACAGAGACTTGCCATCATTATTACTTTAAGCTCTTTAAATTTCCCCACCCATTTTTCTTAAACACTCAAAAATACAGAATTTATTCTTATCCCACACTGCTGTTCGTAACAGCATAATACGTTCAGAACAAATATAATATTAGTTTAAAGCATAACAATGAACAAATAATCAAAACTCAGTGACAGGACAAACAAGATATCATGACTTGTCCTTCAGGTAATTAGATACTCCTCATTTTTAAGTTTATGCACAAGTCTACTGATGTAACAGAGAGATGACCAAAAATAAGTCCTCTCACACTTGTTCTCAAGAGTAGAACTATGAAATCTCAGCCTCAACAGCTTTCTTCAGTTTAAGTAGAGCTGCAAGAGACAGAAGACAATGCAAAGGAAGGAAAGCAGAACCACCACCCAAAGAAATACAAGACTTTTTTAAAAACATCACCTCAGAAAGCCTACTTTTTAAAACTCTGTCCTTAAGTTACGATCCAAGACTTACAAAAACTGAATGTTAAACCTAGATACTTAAAATCAGTGTGCAACTTTAGGTTTTGCACTGCTGAAAACCTTTCCCTTGGGTTATATGCTGGTCCACCAATCTGAGTCATTAAATTCCTGGGCCAGCTCACTGTCAAGGCCAAAGAGGCTGTATTCAGATACTCCACTGGGCTTTTTAAATTTATTTTTTTTTAAAATAAATATTTTTTCCTAAACTCTAGTAAATATAATAAACCTAGATAAATGACAAGAAATTTTGCGTCATTTCAAAATGTAATGTCACAGTATACCTTTATGTTAAGTTTTCTGTTTTGCGTAGGAAGCACTCCATCTTCTTTAAGCTGCTCAGGAATTTGTATGGCCTTTGTTTTGAAGGTAGTATCAGTTGCATTCTCTAGTTTAGGCTTTTTTTTCCCAACTTTTAATTTTACTTTCTGGAAATCTTCTTGATGTTTCCTTTTTTTAGTCATTCTGATTCCCTGCAAAAAGATATTCAGAATTTTAATTTGATTAAACACACTACAAAAAAAATACATTTTTTCCACCAAAAAGCAGCAACTTCCTCACAAAGGCTACTGGTTTTACGCCTTTTCCTATGTAAAAATTAGCATCTGCTCCCAAGATAAGGTGCTACACAGACATGCAGACTGATTCAGTACGGCTGTATTTCTAGCATCCAGAAAACATTCTGCTGCTCAGTTGGTTGTCTTTGCTCTGAGAAGTACTTTATTGAAAAAGATCACTGAAGTACCTACGTCTTCCACTGCTTTATGAGATTAAGTTGTTGGTTTTGTTTTTTTTTAAAAAAGTTCCTGCCAATAAAGCAACTTTTTACATAGCTGACTCTTGTCAAGCCAAAGGAGCTCAGTGAACGGTTTCATTTAATTTGTACATTGTTTACCAACTCAATCATTAACAGCACACGGTCTGCACAGGTAAAATCATGGGTTTAATCAGGCCTTCACTGATAACAGCAATATACAAGAATCTAAGAAAACTTCCACTACACACTGAACAGTCCAGTCTACACATTTAAAAATGGTAACTAGAAAGAAGAGGGGGGAGAAGAGGTTAAATGGGCACATATAGACTAAAAAGAGACTGAAAACCAAAGTCATATTTAATAAGGCAGAAGAAATGAGGTAGCATAAGTAGCTATATACTTGGAAGTCATACAGACATACTAGAATAGATGTACAATAACCAAAACAAATTAAAACCCACACTTCAGTTTCGGAACGACCTTTTGGCTTTGATTTATCTGTACTGATAAAAGTACTCCTAATTCTACCAGATTAAAAAAACCCACACCACCAAAAAACCCCAACAAACACTACACCACAGGTTCCTTTATTTAATCTTCCTTCCCTCCATCTCCGCACCGCTAAATTCATTCACAACAAAACTCCAGAAGCTGATGTCACACCACTCAACATCACATACAAATTGTGCCTAGATTTCTGTTAATTAAAGCCATGAATCCATGGTCTGATGACTCCTAGAAGCGGTTGTAGAGATTAATTACAATTTAAAAGGGAGAAGGGGAAGACAAGCACAAAGCCAGTACGATGTTGCGGTTTAACATCTCAGAACTTTCTAATGATAACAGGTAATTTATCGAGATGGAAATCTGAATACTTCCAGACCTCACTGTATGCAGTATAAAGTTCATGCTGTCGGGTACATAAATTTTCTGTTTCTCCTCCTTTTCAAACTACTCTTTGGGTAACTTGGTTTTGCACATTCCTAATATCTGAGTGCCACAAAAAAGGTTGTGAACACAATGTTCAAATTTTAAAGAGCAAACTAACTAAAAAAAGGGAAAAAAAAAAACAATACAGCTGACTAAACCCAGAAATTTATAAATAAAATATCCAAACAATGATTCTTTTATGGTGGATATGATCATCATTCACTCTAGAAAACAGAATTCTACAGCTGATTTTCCCAATGGACTTCAAACTGTAAATGGGTGCTGTACTACAGTATTTCATATACACATCATCAGGATAATCATTAAAGAATGTTTTTAATCCAACTGTCATTTCCTATTCTTTTAAAACAATTTAAACAACTGATTATACAAACATTTGATTACAACTTACTTTCTGCTTTTCACATGCTAGCTTAAAACTGCTATACAACTGCAAGACCACTTTAACTGAAGTGTAAATTTAGCATCAGTAACCCACGAACTGAAAAGGCTTCAAAGAAACTTGGAGTTTGGTGCCAAAACAAAAAGGTCCTGTAGCATCCAACTATAACAACTACAGTTTTATAAGCTTTTGATTTTTACCATATGCATCTTTTAGGAAAGAATTACAACAAGATGTTCACTACTCAATTGCAAGACATACAGAAATAGCTAGAAGCTTTTGACATGAAT